CAGCGAGCGAGCGGACTCTGCCTGGTGGCATTAATCGTATTAATCGTCAAGTGTCGAAAAGTAATCGATTAATGTTTTTCTGCCGATTTTAATTGCACACGATACGATTATGCCCAACCCTAAGCCGAACATCAATTTGAGTTGGTGTTCTGGCCCAAATTGTCAAATTAAGTGTAATAATCTGCCACTGCAGAAAGACAATTAGGCTTGGTAAGACTTGAAATGAGGAAAACATTTCCAGGCTAACAAGAGCAACAATCGAACACATTCTGCTGCTTAGTATATCATCTCAAATCAAGATGCAAAATACTCTTTGGCTGGATATAAGTGTACGATTTGGTTAGATGGACAAGTTTTACATAGTACATGTGTGTGGAACATAAGTTCATAACATCTGTTCATCTAGATTCTAGAAAGAACTCTAGCTACCTCATTTAAACCATGTAAACTTTTTTCACCTTGCCTCTAAAAAGAATCGAAATTGGGAATCATTGGGAACCGTGGAATCCAAATGAGGAACTGGAATCGTTCAAATTCAAACGATGTCCAACCCTACTGAGGAGGAACTCATTTCGACCACGTGTATCCACAAACTCGTTTTTTTGGTCACTACCCATAGCTTATGACCATARATGACGTCCCTACCTTCATCTATTGATGGATGGGACTTGGTGTACAGAATTCAAAGAGTTTAGCAGTGGCRATTGTAGCCTCTTTCTAGGTTTTGATGTATCAAGACAAAAAAAAAAAGATTAGCCTTTACCAGGTTCTGATTTCAAATGGTTCMAATTAGAACCTGACAACAGAACTGAAAAAGTGTGGACTTCCTTTTTCCCACGGCTGTGGATGATTTGTTTTGAAACATCAACTTTATGTTTTTGCTTGGACATTAGATTGTCAAGAAGGAAGAAATGGGTTAAAACATCCAGGATAAAATAAAATAAAATAAAAAATCAATTCTGAAAATATTCTTCAATAGAAAATTGGTAACACTTTGGAACCTCTATCATCATCCATTCATRATATCAAAATGTTTAACAAAATCTCAGAGCTCAAAGAACAATACTTATAGTCAGTAATGGATGGCTGTTCTTCAGGCCCTCAGGAGCCCTCAGGTGCTAGTTATGTTTCCCCTAAGAAATTGGCTAAGCCTGGTGGTAGGGTTGCTTTGGCAGCCCATTAAAAAATGTTAAAGTTGACAGGAAATAAGAAAATATGACGTAATGTATGTTTTATTGTAAGATGTTGGCAGTACTTAAACACCAACTATAGCTGGCTCACCAACCGTTTTAAGACTGAGAGCTTTCTGTTAAGAGTAGTGGTTAGAAAATGTTTATTTTAGGCATTCGGGCAATCCACTATTGTTTGCCATGCCCTTTCTTACTCGTTTATAATAGCAGCAGTGTTTCTTTCTTTAGAAATGAAGCACATCATACTAAACATAGTTTTCATGAAGCCATAGTTTGATGCTCAAAAAAAAAGTCCCTCTCCATTTGTTTCCAGCTGAAAAAACTCCTCAGGACCACGGTGTTCAACATGCCCCAGGGGTGTTTCTGGTCCTCACCTGTCGTTTTGCTCCTCAGCATGGCTGCCTAAAAACGCTGCAGGATTTCTCAAACA